ACTACTAACTAACTACTACCTCACACACACACACACACACACACACACACACACACACACACACACACACACACACACACACACACACACACACACACACACACACGTGTACACACCGCCCTGATTATGCTACGACACTCATGCAGTGTTAATAAACAGATATTTCAAAGTACAGGATATTTTAGTCTTAAATCGCTCATATCTTTCACATGATATATCTTAAGCTGTAGCACGGGTGTTTCTTTGAGTTAAAATTTGCGATGGCGAGATCGCGTGAATCGGAGTATGAGTTTTGTTTTTGTTTTTTGAATACTCATATTGAATAGACATATATAGCTTATTTATTGAATCTCTTCTATATCCTTATCAGAGCGATATACTCTGCATATTTCTGTCACTGACAAGGCTGCACCATACCATCCTGGATTTTCTCTACAGAAATCTGAGCGCCGTTACCTCTAGCGTTCAACTTCACCATTGTTCTCCAGAAGCATAGGTGCAAACTATACATGCATTTAACTTTACCTCACTCGCTGGTAAACAAACGTGCGGCCCTGCATCATACTCTTGCCATACTGCCATAGACATAATGCCATAGAGTCCCGATTCCTTTGTTCAGGCAGGCTTCGCGACTGTCATGGGGTTGGTGCATATCACTATGTTGCATGTTAGCACTTGCTTCATTCTGGGTGTTGGCTGGGCCAGTACTTCCTGTTGAGTTGTTGTTATTCTGGTAATTCGTACGAGCTTGCACTGGGAGCCGTAGTCTGTTGAATTCGCCCATCATGTCCTGGCTCAGCTTCCTGTGATTATTCTTGAAAACATGATAATGTTGATCGATCGCAATGTCTTCTATCATACGTTTCAGATGAGTGATATTTGCACCTAAAGCTACCAATTGGTTTGCATATCATGGATATTGATATTATTAGGATTGTTGTCAGTTTTCTGTTCGGCACCGTCTGTCAATCTCTTGTACTCTCAAGCCATCCTCTCCGGCTGGAATGACAACAGCAGGTCGACGAAATATTTACAATCTAAAAATTTCATCACAGCAGATATCCGGAAATAAATGTCTCACCGTATCATCGCAGTATTTGCGATACTCTGCAGGTTGCTATAGACTTTCAGTTATGCCAAGGTATAGTGCAACGATGGCAAATATTCTCTTGTGCTGAATATGAAAGCCAGGTAAATTTCACATGCCTGGTATTACCGAATCCTCATGGCTCAAATTGAAATCTGCAGTATGCAATAAAATTTAAATCATGACTGTGCATACTCATGTATATGTGTGTACTGATCTCCATATAAATACGGATACATCACGCACAAACACCACATACTTTTACCTGAATTAATTCTATTGACATATGGCTGGTATTTAACGGTCGTTATGTAGAAATCCGGCCTCCGGTCAGTCTAAAATGTCAAGATCAAATGAGATAACACATTGGTTTTTCTTTGTGTTTAATAATTTAATACAAGTTTTTTTTCCAATATTTCCAAAGTGTTCTAAATTCACTTTGATGGCTCCAATAGCCTGAGTATTTGGTATGACTCATTTACTTGGACCTATTTGAGACGATAGTAGATGTAGGATATTATAAACTATATTTTTAATCTCTGAACTACTACTTACAGGTTTTGGTCTTCCCACCAATCTCCAAAATCCAATAAGTCTTTCTCCTTTTTTTAACTTTTCTCCAGATGGAACTTTATTTATATTAGCTAATGTATTATCTTGACTTACGTTCTTATGTCTATCTACAATTTAGACATGTGATCATGAACACTCAGTACTTCTAATGAAAATTATTCAATAAAGAACAGCTAGAGGTACGTCCTGTGTGATCGAGGATATTAAGGTTCTTACCAAGAGGCAGTCCCGATCATTCTTACAAAAGCTACCACTGCTAAATCCTAACTGACTTAAATTGTATCTTAGTTTATATAACATAGTTTAAAACATAGAAATATTCATCGAAGTTTACATATTTTTCAGTTATTTAGTAGTTACAGTAGTGTACTGCTTCTAGACTGTATATCAATTGCTAACTATCCAGCGACAGGACTGTGAGTATTCTATACTACCTCATAGTGGCTAATACTACCCTAAAGTTAGCTACACGCTAGTTACTATACCTAAACTTTATAAATTTTCCCTATTCTTGAGCTATTACTATGGCTAAAGGAAATTCTAAAGGCTAGGGAGCCGCCAGCTTTAAGCCTGCTAAGCCTGTTGAGGTTCCTGAGGTTACTGGGGACGCTGGTTCATCTGGTACTGAGCCTGCCGATGAAGCTGTAGAGGAAGCCGTTTCCGAGCTTGGTTCTGAGGAAAACTCTGAAGATGACTCGTCGGACCCTAAAGCCTTGGAAGTGGAGGTCTCAACTACCGCGGAAAGGCTCGCCAGCGTCCGTGTGTCTCCTAGTAGTGCAGCCCAGGGCCTCAGCACGCCATCTGACCGCGAAAAGTCAGATAGTGGAAAGGCTATATTTCCTGAACAAGTGGAGGAATCGTCTCGAGATCGACGGTTTATTACTACTAAAAGTTAGCCTAATCCCCTTCCATTTCGTGAAATTTCATTGAATGCCTCGCCACTGATTGCCTCGCCACTGAATATTGGGGCGGAAGACGCAAATGTTGGGGACGCCATAACTCGACAACGAGTGGTTGGATCTTCTCAATATCGACGCCCTTTGAACCGCAAAGATGAGCTTTTAAAGAAGCTAGCCGCTGCCGTAGCTTCTGAACCTTCGATCATATTCCACGTGGCCGATATTCTTCTACCGAAGAAAAAATATTTCGAGCCGGGTTTCAAAGGACCCACTGGTTTACCAGCGAGCATGGTTACCACTGAGCCAGTTACCGCTGGTGTCGTGGATAAAACTTTAAAATTTAATCCCTATAGCTCGGAAGCTACAATCGACCATCCTCTCGACAAACCTAACCCTGTCAGCGGCAATGGTCGTATGGAAATCGATGAGGCTTACCACCCTAATAACTTCGATCCTCATTTAACATCTAACCCTGGTAATCACGGCTTTGGTAATCGTCATACCAGTACCTCACTAGAGAGTACCCACTCTAGCTCTGAAGACGAGGAAGTGAGAACCAGACAACATCGTCTCAGA